ACTTGCCCCTTCCCGGCATCCGTCCCCAGAACATGACCTCTGACCACTCTATGCCTCTTTTCCTCTTGTTCTGCATCTTCCCACCCTCTCACAAGCTAGCCAATTGCATCTGTCCTGAGAGTCTCTGTGGGCTTTGCCCATGTGTCCTGTCGACTTCCATCAGGTACACTGTGTCCCTTGAATTTGCTTTGGCCTTGTTGCTGACAGAGACTGTGTCTACACTGGCTGCACAGATAGCAAATAAACTGAGCAAATAAACTTACGTATAGACTGCAGGAGCCAGGCCTAGTGATGTACACCTTTAACCCCAGCACTTGGGAGGCAGTGGCAAGAGAATATCTGTGAGTTCAAGGTCAACCTGGTCTACATGTGTTCTAGGACATACAGAGCTACATAGGGAGACCCTGTCTGAAACAAAACCAAAAATCAAAACAAAGTGGGAAAGAGTCTGCAGGTATGAAGTGATTTCATTTTTTGTTTTTGTTTTTTGTTTTTTTTTTTTTGCAAGTAAATCTGAAGACAGACTAAAAGTAATACCCTTCCTGTTTCTTAGCTGAGAGTTTTCTGCTTTCCCCAGTGAGAATTCTGCAGCTGCAGTTATGATGATTTCATCTTCCAAGGTTAGCTGAGGAATGTGTCGTGATAAGTCTCAGCGATAATCCATTGGTCAGGTTCATGGGCTCTGGGGCCGGGCTGCACATCTGTGAGCAGTGAGACGCCAAGAAAAGGGCAATGGCTCTCTGGCAGGCACCATCAAGGTGCCTGCCAGAAAAGAGAGCACACAAAGATTAGTCATACAATAATTCTCAGTTATCAACCTCGAAGCATGTCTAAGTGACGTCAGACGGTCAACAAAGACCATGATAGATGTTACAAGATGAACACTCAAGGTCCAGAGTGATAAAGGTTATACAGAAAGGGTATTAGGTTGAAGTAAGGGGGGGGCATCCTGGAGGGCTTCCTGAAGGAGGTGGCAAGGAAGCCACAGGGATTTAGTGCATGATGAAATGTACAATGGGAATGGAATGTTCTAGTCTCCAGACAGCCTGAGCAGAGGCTCCCAAAGAAGACGTCCATCTGACTATTCACAGGAAGCAGAGAGCTGAGAATGGCCGGCTGCAAAGGGAAGGAAAGAGAGAAAAGGAATGGAATGGGTTTGAGGTCTGCCTTGGCAAGGCTGCTTCTGGACGAGTCCTGAGAGCTCTCTGGGCTGAGCTCTGACCTCCGTTCTACAGGACTGCTGGGTGACAGAGGCCTTGACTTTTGGTGTCCTGACCCAGTGTCCCTCCAGACAGATTGGCTATCTCATTACAAAAGATGTCTTACAAAACAGGCAGAAAGAACCACACTGTGCTTGGCTTTTGCCACTTCCAACTCAAGAGCATATCCTTGGTTCTAGCAGAGCGTGCTCTCCTCTGAGCTTGTGAGTTTTACACAGTGAAAGAAAGAGGCCACAGTGGAAGCTGTCATGTGTGAAGTGAGCAGGAGTGCAGGGGAGGAGAATGATTTCCCAAGCGAAGAGCTTTGATGACTGCACAGGCATCTGTGACGCAGCTTCTGTGGAGCCTTCCCTCACTCAGGCACTGTAAAATACTTTTCCTTTGTACAGCTCGGGCAGATAGTGAAAAGCTATTTAGTGTATAAGGTATAAACTGTGCCCCAGCTCATTTTTATTGACACTAAGTTAAGCAGCAAATAGGGTTGAGAATATTATTTGGGAATCTACATAAAGGAACAGGAAGGTCTCACTGTGAAACCTGAACCCCTGCAGCAAAATGATACCAGGCTAACTTAAACTTTCAAGTTCCCATCCCAACATCCCAGACCTGCAAAATAGGGATCTGGTTGCAAAGTCTTGGAAGAGAGAGAGAGAGAGAGAGAGAGAGAGAGAGAGAGAGAGAGAGAGAGAGAGAGAGGAGAGACAGAGAGAGAGAGAGAGAGAGAGACAGACAGACAGACAGACAGACTGGGGACTGACCCTAAGGCCTTGTTTATTGTAGGTAAAATGATCTGCCATTGAGCTATACCCCAATTTTATTTTGATACAGGGTTGCCCAGGTTGTCCTTGAACGTCTTCTGTAGCCCAGAGTATTATTTACTTTTCTATTGCTGTGGTAAATGACCACAACCAAAGCGACTTTTAGAAGGAAGGTTTTTTCTTTCTTTCTTTCTTTCTTTCTTTCTTTCTTTCTTTCTTTCTTTTCTTTTCTTTTTTTTTTTTTTGAAAGTTGGGGCAGGCTATGCACTCATTCCCAATCAAGATAGGTCATCCCATCTCCCAAACAGTGCCACCAACTGGAACCAAGTGTTCAAATACCTGACCCTATAGGGGGACAGTTTGATCTGAACCACTACACTCGGGCAGTGATCCTGGGATCCTCCTGACTCAACTTTCAGAGTAGTTGAAATTACAGACATATCAGGTGTATGTTATTGGCCTTCAGACATGGCTAGGGGGAATCTGTATTCTGACTGCCACCTCAAGGGAAAATGGTTCTCTTGGAAAAGGTGTTCTATTGTGGTAAAATACACCTAACAGAAAATTCCCCATTTACGTTTTGCTTGCCTCTTTTCTCAGTTGTAGGATAGAACCCAGGGTCTCTACCATGCCAGGCAAGTGCTCTGCCACTGAGCTATTATATTCCCAGCACTTTAGACTACCCCAAGACAGGGTTTCTCTGTGTAACAGTCCTAGTTGTCCTGGAACTCACTTTGTAGACCAGGCTGGCATCGAACTCACTGAGATCTGCCTGCCTCTGCTTCCCGAGTGCTAGAATTAAAGGTGTTTGACATCACCACCCAGCTCTCAAGACATTTTTAATGTTTTTATCAGCATATGTCAGCATAATTATACATATTTCTGGTGCTGGAGAGATATCTCAGTGGTGTCTGTCTGCTTTTCCAGGTTCAATTCCCAGAACCTACATGGCAGATCACAACTGTCTAAATCCAGGGACCCCAACACCCTCATACAGACAGACATACATACAGGCAAAACACCAACGCACATAAAAATAAATAAATCTTTTAAAAAATAGAAAAAGTATCTATTCTTCTGTATTTTTATTTGCCTGTCGGTGTCATGATGCCCTCATTAAAGATAACTTAAAGGAGTTAGTAATCTGCTTCTACCATGTAGGTTTATTTAGTGTTTGATGCTTTTCCACACAGAGCCATCCATCTGTTGTCTAACCATCGTCACCATGCATCCCCAGAGCACTTTCATTTCTCAGACTGAGCTCATTAAACCCATTCCATGATGCTTGGCAAGCCATTCTACTTCTTGTCTTGAGGAGTTTGCAACTCTGGTACCTCATAAGTAGTCATATTTATTTATCTATCTTTTTCTCTCTCTAATTTTTTTTTTTTTTTTTGGGGTCTGGTTGTCCAGCTCAGACTGGCTTTAAGATTCTTTTGCCCAAGGTGTGGTGCTGGGAATACAGGTTTGCCACCAAGCTCAGTTTAGTATTTAATCTTTTTGTGACTGGCTTATTTCACTTAACATCACGCCTTCAAAGTTCATTCAAATAGCCTGTGTCCTAATTTTATTCATCTCAGTGCAGAACAGTATTGTACTCTATGTGTGTAGAACACATTTTGTGTCTCCATCCATCTACCCGTGAATGGTGGCTGTTTCTACCCTTTGAACTGTTGTCACAGGCCAGTGAATGTTGGTACTTATTGCCTCCCTGAGGCTCTGCTTCTGCTTGTGCTGGCTCTAATTCCTTTTAATATTTTGAGAAGTGACCATGTCATTTTCTGCAGTCATTGTACTACTTCATGTTACCCCTAGCAGTGACCTGCCAAGGGCTCTTAATTTCTAGGTGTCTTTGCCAATATAACCCTCCCCTGTCTGTGTGATTTGGACTGACATGGTTGAACTTGCTTTTATAAATAGGACATTTGACAAGAAAATGTTAATTTGCTAAAGTTGTCTGTCTAAGAAAGGTCAAACAAGCAGACACGTTCAGGACTGCGATCCAGAGTGCATTATCAAGTAATGACTTACGGTTGTGTTGACACAAGTAGCACGGATGAGAGGAAAACAAGTTGGCGTTCTGAAGGATGCTGCCAATGCAGTTGATATCAGTGTTGCATCTGGGCGAGTCCCTTCACTAAAGTTTACTCAGTCTAGGGAATAGTTAAGAATAAAAAACAAAAAACAGTGGGGGGGATGGGTCTTTAATACGAGTCAAAGATTCTGAGCTGGGAAACGGTGGAGACACGTAACAAGTGAGTATATTTATTTATCTATTTATTCGTTTGGTTTTTTGTTCTTTGAGATAGAGTTTCTTTGAGTAGCAGCCCTGCCTGTTTCGGAACTCTCTCTGTAGACCACACTGGCCTCCAACTCAGAGATCTCTCTGTCTGTGTCTCTCAAGTGCTGGGAGTAAAGGTGTGGGTGACCTCACTTGGCCTTTCTTTTCAGTTTCTTTTTTTAAAAGACAGAGTCACACTATGTAGCCTTGGCTGGCCTGGAACTTGCTATGTAGTCCAGGCTGTCTTCAAACTCACATTCATCTGCTACTGCCTCCTGAGTGTGGGGTGTTAGATCCCCTGGAATTGGAGTTACTGGTAGTTGTGAGCCTCCATGCGGATGTTGGAATCTGAACCCAGGTCCTCAGGAAGAGCAACAAGTGCTTTCGACCACTGCTTTATTTCATAGTGGATCTTTCCTCCTAGGCGTTCAGAATGACTATAGCTTCTGGAGATTGAGTTTTTACACAAAGTTACTCAAACTGAGTTCTTCCCATCTCTGCACATTGTGAGCTTTCCACTGCAAGTGTTTTCACTGGACATGTCTTGGCTACTCTCCCCTGGATGGGGGATTCCTTGAAACTGATCCATCCTGTAGGAACCTTGGTGTTCCAGAAGAACCCACAACTTTGTCAAGCCTGACAGTCTGAGTCCCAAGGTGACTGTGAAATTGTTCCCACGTACATGCCATTCTTGTTTCTAGTCCTCCCTCCCCCTCTCTCCCTATTTCCTTTCTTCTTTTATATAATATAGACCACTTTATAAGTTGGCCCATCATCCCTGAGAAGGGCCATGCTAATTTTCTCTGTATCATCTCAGTTTTACTATGTATGTTTCTACAGTAGGTAGCTCTCTTGGTTTTCATATCCCTCCCAGAGGCCCTCAATTCTACTTCAACTTCTCAAATGCTGGGATTACAGATGTGGACCATACCTGCTCCTGCTTCACTGATTTTGGATGTTGTTGTTCAGTTATTGAATTTTTTGAGAAAGGCTTGTTATGTAGTTGGGGATGTAGTTGGGGATGACTAAGACTTCCTGACCATCCTGCTTCTATCTCCCAAATACTGGGATTCCTGGTGTGTGTGTTTACCTTGTCTGGCCCCAATATTTAACAAATAAATAATAACAAATATATTGCTATAACATATTAATATGATGTTATTGTTGATGTTTTATCATTGTTACTGTTATTTTTGAGATAGGCTCTCTGCATATGGTAGGCTGTCTTGAAACATGCCTATAGCCCAGATCCTGTCTTTTATTTGGCAATCTTCCTTGGCCACTCTCCTGTCTATCTTATGACTGTGTATGCTGTGCCTTTAGTCCTTGGATTGTAGGTTCTCAGATGGTCTAGAAGACCCAAATAACATCTTCCAAAGAAGTGGGTATTCAATGAAGCTGGTACCCACTTCCTTTCCTATTGATATAGCCAGGCTCCCAGAACTGGCCAGACAAAGGTAAGATTTTGACAAGTTACTGGCAAATAGAACAATGTAGGTAGACCATAGTGCCACTTATGAGGCTGTTAAAACTGCTTGTCTAATTTAATGAGGCATCTTTTCCTACCTCAATATCTCATTTGATTTTCACACAGGGTACCATGCTCATTGTAGAATGAAAGAAACTGAGGTTCAGAAGATGATAAGCAATGCCCAAAGTGTAGGCATGGCAACTGCATTGATATCATAGCAACACTTAGCAGGGTGGCTAAGGCAAGAGATTCCAGAGTTCAAGGCCACCCTCCGATACATACTGAGTTGGAGGCCAGCCTGGGTTGCATCAGACTCTTTCACAACAACAAAGATATTAGAAGATCTTAAAGTCTGAAGGACTGGAGAATGCTCTATCCTACCTCTATCCTACCCCATATGTTATTTGTTGGAATCAAATTAAGAAAACCTTAAGACACCCTTGGAAGGGAAGGGCAATTCCACAAACTTCATGTTTCTATCATCTTCTTTTGCCCTGTCTTTCCATATGGCATTCTCTCCTACCTCTGGAGCATCTAAAGCCTATCAGAGAGTATAGACTCGATGTTTATTGAACAACTAAGTGCTTGGGACCATGGGAAAGGTGGAGAGGAGTTGGGGCCTTGTGGTCTCCTTCTTACTGTTACACATCATCCTTGTCCCCATAGCTGCTCCTTGAGGTACTGCCTGTGACTCTGGTCTCAGCCTCAGACTTTACCACCCCAACTCTATCCTTCCAACCAGCATGTGAAGGTCTCCCTAACACACCCTATGGATTTACCAAACCTAGCCTCTGTCTTTTCTCTGACTTTTCTTTCTCCTCTCTCTGGGGAAGCCCATCCTAGCTGCCTCTATAGGTAGTCTCCTCCTTTGAGTGTTAATCCATAGGGCATATTTGAACATTTAGATTGGAAGCTCTTGGCAAGGCAGAAACTCTTGTTAATATCCATTCCAAATCTGATCTTGGAGCTGGGGCTATATCTAAGCTGGGGATGGAGATTGGGGATTTGAGTACACATGTGGGGTCCCATCCCCAGCACCACTGAAACCACACAACAGATCCCCTATTTTATAGGTGAAAACAAAACAAAAATAAACTAAGCTTCAAGAAAGTCATGTGATCAGCACAAAATTATGCATGATGTTATCTAGAATACATGCCCTTTGTTGCATACAGCCATTTAATTCCCCTCTGTTTACCTCACCATTCTGGCATCTGCCTTAACTCTTGGGAGTGGAGAGTCTCCAGCAGGTGGTCTGGTCTACTGAGCAGCTGCCCTTGATTCTAAAGGTCCCATTCTCCTGGGATGGCTCTCCCAGTTGCAACTGCTCATCGCTTGCCTGTCTTTGGAATGATGCTTCAGGGTACCTGAGGAGTCAGTACTGAACGTGATAGGAGCTAGAGATGGGTTAATGGCATGAGCTCATTCCATCTTTGCTTGTGGCTGATTCTGTGGCGTTCTTTACAGCAAGCCTCCACAGGCAAAGCCATCCAGAACACAGTGCAGCTGTGTCCTATTCAACACACACTCCCTTAAACATGCTATTGTTTTATTTGTTTGTTTGTTTTGTTTTCTGAGACAAGGCTTCCCTGTGTAGCTTTGGAGGCTCTCCTGGAACTTGCTCTGTAGACCAGGCTGGCCTCCTACTCACAGAGATCTACCTGCCTCTGCCTCTCGAGTACTGAGATTAAAGGCGTGCACCACCACTGCACAGCAACATTCTAAATTTTTAAGACATAAACCTCTTTTAGGCATTTAGTACAGGGCTCTAGTGGTGTGAGAAGAAAGAAAAGAATACCACCTTGCCTGTCACTTTCCACCCTACCAAATAGAATAGTCGTTTAGGCATTCAAAACATGTTTCTAGAGTGCCTACTGTTTGCCAGGCATTACATTTGGTTTTGGACATTGACAACCAACAAGTGTCTACACTTGCTGTGTCATGCTTGAATGGTGGATGACCCATCAGGATCTCAGGTGTCACAGGAGGTAGTTAATTATTTTGTGGGATGGAGTGCTGAAATGCCTCGGTCTCGAGTTTGCTTTGATTTTGATGTGGAGTGTGGGTGCTGAGTCGAGTTTGGACCTGAGAAGAAACACCATTGTGGTTACTCTGGTTGAGCAAGACTGCCACGTGAGGCGAGGTGATCCCAGGCAGGGGGATGCAGAGATCTTTTCATTACAGGTCTTTAAAGGTCAGTTTATTGGAGCCTAATGAGACAATTAGAGATGAATATGGAGTAATTGTGCTACTTTCTAACTTGTGCAATAAAGCTCGTAGTTCCTGATAATTGCAGCCATCTCAGCTCTGGTGCTCTGTAGAGTACAGAGGAGCTTGGTCTTGATCCCTTCTCTTTCTTTTTCATTTGGCACATGAATTCCATTCCATACCAACCTCTCCCCTACTGTAGGCAGCTAAGTTTTAAAGTAAACACGAGGAACTCCATTTTTCCCAGTTTAACTAACATGGAAACGCCTAATCCTCTTAGATTTCTTGATTTTGCAAGCCAAGATTTGTTGGGATAAAAATCTTTAAGAGGCCAATCACATGGGCTAGGTATTCATTTAGTGACCCTCAAGTGAAATCTGCTAGAACAGCAAATCAATGGCTTAAGGCTGTCTCTCACACATTTGCTTGGCTAATGTTTAACTACAGGTTGAGCAACTTTAATGGAAGCTGTGAATGTGGACAATTAATCTTAGTACAGAGGGAACAGACACTTAAGGTTATTACCTTATGTACCACTCAACTTTCAGATCCCTCTATTTTTAGCTTGCAAAAGAATAAACCCAAAAAGTCATGGGCTGTATCTGTACTGTCCAGTACAATAGCCACATGTCATTGTGGCTATGGAAATACTGCAGTATGGCTAGTGTGACTGGGCCAGTTCAAATTTATATTAATTTCCATTTAAAAACAGAAGCCATGGGCTGGGTATGGTGGCTCATATCTGGAGGCAGAGGCAGGCAACTCTCTGTGAGTTCTAGGCCAGCCTGGTCTACACAGGGAGTCCCAGGACATCTAGAGCTACATACAAGCTACAAGCAAGCAAACAAAATCTTCAATGATTTGACTATTTTATGCTATTAGCGCCCTGTTATGATTAAAAGCTAGGATTAGAATCAAGCACAGTTGTGCTTAGGTGTCAGACTTTCTGTTTTCTGTATTTGACCTTGGACCAATGTTTTCAGTTTGTTAAGCTTCTATTTTCTTGCCTGAGAAGTGGCACAGTAGGGACTGAAGAGGTGGCTCATCAGCTGAGAGCATTGGCTGCTCTTCTAAAGGACCCAGGCTCCATTCTCAGCACTTACATAGCAGGGTGCAGCTGTTAACTCTGATGCCTTCCCCCACTAGCTTCTATGGGCTGTAGGCACAAAATTACGTACATATAGACAATACACCCATACACAAAAATGTAGGGGCGAAGGAGAAAGAAATGGTACAATAAGCAGGCTCTAGTTTATAATATTTGAATGAAGACAAAAGTGTATAACATATGTAAAATGCCTGGCCTTCCAGAAACATTTTTGTCATGATTGCTAATCTAGATGATGTAGAGTTTTGTCTCTGTAGTTTATTTCTCTATGTAGTCCTGGGGATTGAACTCAGGGCCTTACACCTCTTAGGGAGAGTGCTCTACTGAGGTATCTCCCTCTCCCCACTGTTGATGGAATTGGCATTTGCATTTTGTGCTAAGTGTTAACAGTACTTATAAGCTGGGGCTGGAGAGATGGCTCAGCAGTGTAAGAGTGTGTTGCTCCTACTGAGGACAGGAGTTGTAGCAGCTCCAGCAGACAGGACACCCCTCTTCTGTCTGGCCTCCTGGTACATCCATACTCACAAGTCATAACTCCCACGTACTCATACATTTTTTTTAAAAAAATCTCCAAAAGATTACTAGTGAATATTCTTCTTGTGGCCAAGCCCAATGACCTGAATTTACCTTGCTTTAATCTCCTTTGTCATTGTTTGTCATCATTCCGCCATTAGCCTATAATCCTGAATTTGCTTTAATTCATTTTCCCCTCTGAACCTAGCTCAGTCTGTATAATTTACAAAGTTTTATTTGTTAGTGGATATAAATAAAGCACCTGCTATATGCCAGAATCTCTGACTGGTGCTAGGAACGCAAAGATGTACAGTAGATTCCCAACATCCAGAAGCTTGCTAACCAGAAGAGTCTGCAATCAAGGCACTTGGGTGTCATAGGTGCCCTGGTAGTGCTGGAGAGAGTGCAGGACAGTGTGGGCAGGGATGGGAAGGAAGCAGTGGCCTCTACCAGGCAGGCGAGAAGAAGGGTGCAGAGGATGAGAGCTGAACCGTTTCTATGAATGAGTTGGTACTGTGAGTAGAGTGCAGTTTGAAGAAGACA